GCATAGATGCTCTGGGCCAATGCGCAGATTTGATTAGGTTTTGGTAAAAATCCATGCTCGTTAATTACCTATTGTAATTACTAATCCGTGGATACTAATTACTAATTTGCATAATGATTAGTCAATTTTCGGTTTTTCCACTGATATCTCAAGTGCTAATCATCACATTTCAATGAAACTTGGTACATAGATGTCATCTGACACTGCACAGACCTGATAGTTTTTATGGTAATATCAGTACATATTAATTACCTAATTTGCATAATTAATTAATTTTCAGCATTTGATATAAGTACTAATCATCACATTTCAATGAAACTTGGTACATAGATGTCATATGACACTGCACAGACCTAATAGTTTTTATGGTAATATCAGTACATATTAATTACCTAATTTGCATAATTAATTAATTTTCAGCATTTGATATAAGTAGTGAGCATTACATTTCAATGAAACTTGGTACTTACATACTCAAGGACTATGCAGAGATTGATTGTTTCCGATAAATATTTGTGCATATTAATCACCTAATTTGCATAATGACTAGTCAATTTTCGGTTTTTCCACTGATATCTCAAGTACTAATCATCACATTTCAATGAAACTTGGTACATAGATGTCATATGACACTGCACAGACCTGATAGTTTTTATGGTAATATCAGTACATATTAATTACCTAATTTGCATAATTAATTAATTTTCAGCATTTGATATAAGTAGTGAGCATTACATTTCAATGAAACTTGGTACTTACATACTAAAGAACTATGCAGAGATTGATTGTTTCCGATAAATATTTGTGCATATTAATCACGTAATTTGCATAATTAGTTAATTTTCAGCTTTTCTACTGATATCTAAAGTACTAATCATCACATTTCAATGAATCTAGAATTATGCAGACCCAATTAGTTTCCGGTAAATATTTGTGCATATTAATCACCTAATTTGCATAATTAACCAACTTTCACACTGATATCTCAGGGACTAAACATCACATATCATTGAATGTACATGGATGCTGTAGAACAATAGACAGACCTGGATAATTGTGGGTTAAAATCTGTACATATTAATTACCTAATTTGCATAATTAACCAATTTTAAGCTTTCACACTAATATCTAAAGTACTAATTATTCCATTTCAATGAAACTTAGTACAAAGTTGCTCTATGACAATGTACAAACCTAATTAGTTTGGGGTAAAAATCTGTTCATATTAATTCCCTAATAAGCATAATTTTTCATAAATTTTTGGTTCTAATCACATTTCAATTAAACTTGGAAACATAGATTTTCTGTTACATTGCGCAGACCTCATTAGTTTTCACTCAAATCTGTTCATATTAATTTTCTGATTTGCATAATTAGTTTTCAGCTAAGTAATTTCGAATTATATTTAATGTGTCTCCAATACTCTCAGCACATGGGAGTTCTTTCTAAGCTTTCTTTGATTTTACTTGTCGTCGCACGTTTCGACCGAAAACAACAACATTTATACATCAAAAGCCCAAACAGATGAGTGTAATCGCTAGCGTACATATTCATGCCCCCATAAAAATGTATTTGGAATCACAGCTTGATCTCTAAACATCGTAAATGTAAGCGGCTTGGTTCGGATTAGCATATCTTGCCCCTATTTATAGTATCGGTTCCATTTTAAGTTTATGGGAAATCCTCATGGGATACTAGGAAATCTGCGAATGACTACCACCTCAGATCTTGGTTCTGTGTTTAGTCTGAACTGTTATAGAACACCACCAGTCAGTTGTGTTGCATGCTGTTTGTCAATTTAGTCTACTTTTAACCAACAAACCTCATGTGATCATCACATGATCACTGCATGAGCAAGGTGTGATATGTGTTACAAGTTGTTCCATCACAAACCGCTACATCAACGAATTCCATACCAATACTGTATATCGCCTTAGTAGACTTCAGTGCTTGTGTCACACCTTCATATTCGAAGATGCTGATCAGAGTTAAACCCAACTGTAAACATTAAAATGGATTTATGGTCTTTCTGAAAATGTTCTAACTGGAAGTCTGTTTCTTATGGAAAGTACAGTATGTAAAAAATGACTGCCTTTCGTAATGTGTCAGTGTGTTATGGCTCTTTAATCTTTTCACCACCAGAATTTCTCGTCCAAATTGTTCTGTACTTTTTTTCTCATATTCTTTAATATTTATGGAAATGAATCCTAGTTTTGGCGCCAACAAAATTTGTGTAAATTTTCAGTCTTTACTCAAATTTAGCTATTTTTGTTCAAATCATCTGAAAGAAAATGCAGACTATAAACAGGAATAAACTATGAATTTGTGATGAAAAGAGGGAACTAGTGGTGAAAAAGCTATTAAATAGTCTGGTTATATTTTATTAATTTATATTTTATTACTTTCAGACATAAATGAATGTTTACAGTCCAATTCCTGTCAGCATGAGTGTGAAAATACAGACGGCAGTTATATCTGTACTTGTCCACATGGGTATAGATTAAAATCAAATGGAAGAGACTGCCGAGGTAAGGGTTTAAATAAAAATGCCATCATTTTTTACGCTAATTCAATACATGGTTTAGAATGGGAACACTGCTAACCAGTGAAGCCTGTTGTTATGCAGAGAACTCTTGTTTAAGATGGCAGCACTTGCAAAAGTTTTGCCAGATAGGTTTTAATAAGCAGTCATGTGTGTGATGGTTTAGATAGATTTTAATAAGCAGTCATGTTTGTGATGTTTTAGATAGGTTTTAATAAGCAGTCATGTGTGTGATGGTGTAGATAGATTTTAATAAGCAGTCATGTTTGTGATGTTTTAGATAGGTTTTAATAAGCAGTCATGTGTGTGATGTTATAGATAGATAAACTATGAATTTGTGATGAAAAGAGGGAACTAGTGGTGAAAAAGCTATTAAATAGTCTGGTTATATTTTATTACTTTCAGACATAAATGAATGTTTACAGTCCAATTCCTGTCAGCATGAGTGTGAAAATACAGACGGCAGTTATATCTGTACTTGTCCACATGGGTATAGATTAAAATCAAATGGAAGAGACTGCCGAGGTAAGGGTTTAAATAAAAATGCCATCATTTTTTACGCTAATTCAATACATGGTTTAGAGTGGGAACACTGCTAACCAGTGAAGCCTGTTGTTATGCAGAGAACTCTTGTTTAAGATGGCAGCACTTGCAAAAGTTTTGCCAGATAGGTTTTAATAAGCAGTCATGTGTGTGATGGTTTAGATAGATTT